GGAAAGAGACAAAGATAGGTATTTCTGACAAGGTCTTGCTGTGTTCTGATCATCCTGCTTTGGCCTTACAATTAGCTAGGATTAAGGGCACTCACAACTATGACCATAGTGTTCAGGTTGGCCCAGGTACAGAATCCAGGCCTCCCACATGGCTTCCAGTTTCCCAAGCTGTGGTGCTACATCTGTGCCATCACAGGCAGGCCCAATTTGGCGTTCCTATATCAGAACAAAAAGAGAAATGTCTCCTTTGTGGTAGACACTCTAGGTGGGGACACACAGAAGGGATTCATAAATCTTTCTGCAGAGGCTGAATGAATGAACTGGTTCCTACAATCTTAACACGTAAGACAGTGAACCCAATGAGGACACTGTTTATCACAGGGTCCACAAAGAAGGAAGCAAAAGAAGAGGGCCATATAAATTGTTCCATGAGAGCAGGAAGGCTATCTTGAAATGCACTCATGGCTCAAGCACAGGAGTACTGCATCAAAATCATAGTGAAGGGGAGGCAATTCAAAGGGCTCAAGGAGCCACGTACAGGATAGACTAATGCAGCAAACAAGAGCCTGATTCTTCTGAGCCAGACAGTGGTACAGCAGTGAAGCACAAAGCTCTGCAAAACTGACTCACATGGGACATCCCAGGTTCACATCTGAAGACCTCCCTAAGAACACCGGACATACGTGTGCCCTTGATCCCTCATTGGTGGAGGCTAGGGTGGATCATGGTCAGGACCCTGTTAGGGATTCTCTTTCTCTCTATTTCCCACTGTCTTGCTCATGAATGAAACTAATTTTAAGAAGAGGTTAGACCTCCTGACAGGACATGAACAGATTCACCTCTCCTGTCATTGAGAGGTTCGGAAATAGTGGGGAGTTCAATCTTGGCATCGTAAGAAAAGAACTAACTCATGAAAAATAATGGGAGTTCCAAAGCCAAGACCAAAGAAAAGACTGAAGACATAAAGGGTGAGAAAAATTAGCATCCATATGGTCTACCAAATTGATACCCTTAGTATTCTCACTCTGCAATCTTGATTATGACCTCCAAGTAGGGGAGGGAGTCCCTGAGACAGACTAGAGGGTGCAAGAGGGGTTAAGAAAAATTACCAAGGCCAAAGAATAAGAGTCCAACATGATCAGGATTAGACCCAAACCATCAGACTTAAAAAGGTGAGAAATGTGCAAAACTTCGCAGGGCTGCCACAGAGCTCCTGGCCCCAGACTCAAACAGGCTAGACCAAAAACACTGGACCAGCTACAGCATCATCCCCACAAGCTGTCTTCTCCATCCATGGGATGCCACTTCTCTCCTTTCATACCAGAGACAAGAGTAACAAGAAGCCCAGATTCCAGATGATTTATTGCCCCATTCTACATCTTAAGATTCTTTTTCTAAGAGGTTTTTGCTGTAGGGCACGTGCGCTCGCCAGACAGACAGAGAGAGACAGAGAGATAGAAAGCGAGAAATCACGTCACAATCCCTTCTCCTCCACTCTCCTCTTGGGATCTTTGGCATGCACGCACACGTGCCCGGCGTAATTTTTAAGCCACTGGGTCCGGGATGCGAACCGCAGTCGACTACGTGCGAGTCCAGCGACATAGCCATTACACTAACTGCTGGTCCCAATTCTTTTTCTTTTTTTCTGAGCATATTAAATACTAAAATGGAATCTAACTCTATGACCAGGAGTCCTTCTTTTCTGAAAAGGTAAAACTCAGCAGCAGTTTTGTCAGTCTGCTCAACCACCTACAGAGGTAAAAACCTAATAGATGCAGAAAGCAGAGGACAATATTCCCTGTGTGCATTTCATGAGACAGAGGCACGCAGGTTACACTGGTTAAGTTTATGGACAATAAATAGCACCATTAAAAGAACATAAAATATTTTCTTAAAATGACTGTGTTGCAGGTGATTTAATAGAGTGCATCATGTCAATTTCTGCTTGTGGTGAAGTCATAAGCAATTAAAGCATGCCCTGATTCATTTGAAACTAGAAGCCTGCAAGAAAATGAGGCAATCTCCCTTTGTGCCAGTGTTTGGCAGGTTGTTTCTTAATAAGTGCTACCAGAAAAAGGACTACATAAAATAATCATGAATTACAAAAAGCTCGGAGGGTAGTCTCTTCCCTTGTGCCACCTCCCTCCAAACTTCAGTTCTTTCATTCTCCTCTATCAATGAGAAAATGCTAATCCTCAGTTGTTAAGAGACAGTAAATACTGAAGAGTGCTATGTACTGAATGTTTGTGTCCTTCCAAAATTCTTACATCAAACTTCTAATTCCCAATGTGATGGTATTTAAAAATGGGACCTTTATGAGGTAACTGGGGTTAAGTGAGGTCATGTCAAGGTCGGCTTAGTGTCCATACAAGAATATACACCAGAGCTCTCTCTCCATCTGCTTTGTGAAGATACAGTGAGGAGGCAGCCATTTACAAACCAAAAAGAGGATCCTCACCAGACTCTGACCCTGCTGATACCCTCACCTTGGAATTCCTGCTTCCAGAACCGTGAGATTATGTATGTCTATTGTTTAAGTCACGCAATCTGTGGTATTTTGTCATGGCAACCCAAGTAGGCTAATACAGAGTGACAACTCTTTTCAGACTAAGAGAGTTCAGGCAGATTCAGAAACTTATTGATGCCAGGAACTATCAAAAACAAAACAAAACAAAGTTGAAAGATCTTGGAAAAAATATATGGAAAAAAATTCTAGAAAGAGAAGAAAAGGCCTGAAAGTTTCAATTCCTCAGCTTCTGTAAGGACATCTAAAAGTCTGGCTTGTTTGCTTTTTCGCTTTTGCCAGAGAGCACATATGTTCACCAGAGAGAGACAGAGAGAGGGAGACAGCACCCACCAATGGGACATGGTCATGCCACAATTCCATCTTCATTTCTCCTCTTTTGAGGGTTTGGAAATGCACACACATGGGTCCAGACTGTTTTTCAAACTACCAAATCCAGGATTCGAGCCACATGGTTGGCCATGTGGGATCTAGCTCCCTTAACAACAGGGCCGTGGACCATTCCAAAAGTCTACCTTGCTCTCTAAACAAGCGAAACCATGACAGCAGGTTAGGACTTCTTAAACAACCCCTGACCTCACTCACCTCATTATAATTCTTAGAAAATCAATATATACTCTGGCTATGGATGAAATCCCTAGAAAATGTCAATCACATGGTATACGTTATACCACACAGCAGCCCAGTAAGTGTATAATTATTCCCATTTTACAGGATTAGAGGCTTCTTTGACTCTCTCCTCACCTCCCACCCCAAGTATCAGAATGTTATTTCCCCTGATTCAAGCCAGAAATTAAAAAGGTCAGTGAGTATGAGGGTCCTTCAAAAAGTTCATAGAAAATGGAATTGAAGTTCCAGTTTATTTGGGTACAAAAACAGTATTTTGAAATCTATGCATTTTTTTTTCATAATATGCATTGTCCATGAACTCTTTAAAGATCTCCTCATACATGATCTCAGTGGTGGAGAGAATAAAATCCAGTACTTCTTTAAGATTTTGAAAACTAACTTCCCACCTACTATCTATTTCCATTACTTCTATTTGTAATAAACAGTTGAGACATATCATACCCTTTACAAAGAAAAAAAAACCAGTAAACTAAAGTTAGTATTATAATTATTTTTGACAGGGGTAGGAGTGTTAATGGGGACATAGGACAAAGAGGCTTCTGCCAACAGGGAAAAGCTCACACAGCTCTACTCTCAAAGTACACCCAGAGCATCTATGACCTTTCCCTTACCACCACCCTTCCAACTGTGCCACTCACTGTCAGGTAATGCAAAACACTTTTCATTCATTTAATGGTGTTTGAGAGTAAGAAAATTAGCTTACTATTTTCTATGCATGTCTTAAATGTTATTCTCACCTAATTTTCAGTTAAGAAAATGGTGATACCATGTAAACTGTACAAGTCACTTAAAATTAATTTACACAAATCCAAAGTATCAGGTTCTATTCTCATGTGTAAACCACAAGTAATAATTGACTCTCTTCCCAGGGCATTCTTCTGAATGAGTAACAGAATCCAGTTTCCATCTTGTAACTACTGCATTGGAGAATCTCAGAAATCACATTTTCTTCTTCCCCCACATTCTTTCTCACAATTCAAATATTGGGGAAGTTCCTTTTCCAAAGACTTTAGAGAGCCCCATGAACCCTTCAGTAAAATGGACAATTCGTGTCCACAAAATTCTATGACAAGTTAACACAATTTAACTTTATATTAGAAAAGTATTAAATTATCTAAAAAAGAAGAGGCCCAGCTAGCTGGTGTAATCAGTAGCATACTAGACTGTAGCACTGGAAACAACATGGCCAAACTGGGTTCAGATCCTGGCATGCCTGAAAACATGCTGGGCACACACTTGGGTACCCAAGAGTCTAAGGAGTTGGAGGGCTGGGGAAAAGGAATCACAATGAGATTCTATCAAGAATGCTTCTCTCTGTCTCACATGCATATACTCTCTATCATAAAAGATACAGAATGATAGAGAGACTGAGCTCATAAAGAAATACTTTCTAAGTGTCTAAATGAATATATTCCATTTTATTTTATTTTATGTGTTTACTTATTTATTTTTCAATGTTTTCAGTCAATCACTGTGTATCAGTACAGCATACCAAATGAATTTTCCCATCATGAATACACTGTTTACTGTTGATGATAATGCATATGGTAATATCTTTGACCAAACACATTCCATTTTTGTTTTTGACTCTGAGACCCTTGATTTCATAGGAAAGAGACATTATAGAGAATATAAGAAGCTACTAGTAATCCTTTGCTTTGCTATAATTTTTTATACTTCCAGATTAAGTGTATGTTTTGCCTAAAATTTTTAAAGTAATTAGACCCTAAGCTGAGATTTATATACCCAACTTCCTGCAGAAAGTAAATTTTTCCTGCTAGATTATGGAATCTCAAGACAAACCTTTTCTTATATCTTTTCTAAACAACACTAACAGACCTTTCGTTTGTCATCATAGCTCAAAATAGCTTGGGGCATAAATGAATTTCTTGGCTGCTTCTCAAAATTCTGACAACAGTAATACTAATAAAATGCCACATTACATCTCTACATGCCTGTCAGATTTAACACAAATGCAAACACATAGCACACAGAATTAGGAAGGCTTTTCAATTAAAGCCCTTGACTGACAGAAAGGGAAAATACAATTTCTCACCTTCAGGTACTCAAGACTAACACTAGCAACTAATATGAGAGAAGAATTATCTGGACATTTTAATAAAGCAAAGAGCTGAGTCCTTATCCCCAATATATCTGTAAAACTGACCAGGATGAAAGTCATTACATTCTGAAAGAAAAGAGTATTTCTTCCTTGGCATCTTTAAATTAATAAGAATGCAATATTTCTGCTCTAAGGTTTTCCATCAAAATATTGTTAAGGGCCCAGTCACAGTGGCACAAACAGTAGGATGCAGCTACTCAAACCTAGGGCCACATGGAAGGCCCAAGTTCAGATCCTAGACCAACCTAGACAGGCCAAGTGCAGCAGCATGTCTGCAACCCTAGCTAGCTAGGAGCCTGGGAGAGAAAAATGGCAAGGACAAAGATCCTGTCAAAAATACTTTTACTTTTCTCTCCCACTATCCATCATTTTCCACCCACCACTCCCAATCAAAAAAAGAAAAAACGTTGATAAGACCAGTATGCAGCAGAAGGGCTAATAGGGTGAAACTGGTACCTGATGTTCAAATCTTATCACCCGCCCTTTATAAGCTGGTGACCTTGAACAAGTAGTTAACCTCCAGTTTCAATTGGACAAGTAGCTAAACCTCAGTTTTAATTTCCTCTGCTGCAAATTGAAATTGAATACCAAATGTGCAGGACTTCTTTAGAATCAAAATAAACAACATAACAGATGTGAAATCAGTGGTACATAGTAAACACTGAAGAATGATTATTTTGTAAATACTAAGATTTTTGACTAGTTAGGTATGTCAGAAAGCATAATGTATTATTCTATTCAATTAAGTCTGGGCAAAGTCATTTTTTTTTTCTTCATAAAGAGAGGTGGGAAGAAAAGGAGAGAAAGGGAAACAGATGAATATTCTTAACAGGGTCTTCCTTGTAACCATCCTATTGCCCCAGTGTCCCGTACGTACAATTGCACCCAGCATGGTCAGGTTGACCTAAGAACTGAACCTAGGCTTCCTTAGGTTTTCAGCCTCCCAAGCAATTGTGCTACTTGAATGGGCTTGGTCATGTGTGAGGTCATGTGACAGTGCATTTGAAACAAACTAAAATCAATAATGAGCTAGGAAAAAAATACATAATGATGATCTTGGTGCTATTTCCTAGTCAGAACAGAGTATGTAATAAGCATATAGTCTGGATATTTAGGTAGATGGATGGATTGATGGGTGAGCAGAAATGGATGAACAGATGGATAACTGGATAGGTAGACTAGTAGATATGGGTAGACAGATGGATAGCTATGGATAGATAGATGTGGATAGATGAATGAATGGATAAATGAGTAGATATGAATGGTAGATAGACAGGTGGATGGATGGATGAGTGACTGGATGGATGAATGAGTAAATGGATGGATGGACAGAAGGAGATTTTAGAACCTTCTCGCAAGACTATAAAAATCTATAAAAGAAAAAAAAAATGGCCTAAGTCATAATCTAGTGTATCTTTCATTTCTGAATCAGTGATTCCAAAAGAACTAGATCAACTCCCCTAAGGCCTTTAACATTATTTCTGTCCTTTGAAGATATTATTGATTGAAGCCTTGGGTTTTATTCCCTATAGAAAATATTCTGAAGTTAACATCCTTGATATTCATATAACCAGATATAAAAGATACTACAGAGCTAATCAATTTCCAGAGATATATCCAGGAGAAAAATCACACCTCTTTCTTGAATACTTCACAGAAGCAAAAGCTTTGATTCTTACCTGAAGGTGGGTCCATTCTGTATTTATTCTCTTGACACCAACCAACTGGTCGAAGTCTGTAATCCAAGTAAAACAACCACTGGTCATAGGATTCAGTGTCCTCCAATCCCACATAGCGAAGGCGTAATCTTCCTCCAACATTTTCAATCACACTAACTATCCAGTACTGAAAAGGGTTCTGAGAATCCTGAAGTTCTATTAAGGAATCAACTGTAATGAGGTCTATAGGGCCTTTCCCTCGCAGAGGCTGTTTAAACAGAAGCAAAACTCCTTATTTTAAACTTTATTTTAAGGTTCTCATGGAAACAGATGACAGCAGAAGATATTATTTTTTCACACCATCATCCAAGCTACCGGCAAACAGTCTGGTGTTTCCCTCCACCCCCATCCTCTGCACAGACAGTACCCCACCCTTCCCTTCCCTCCCTCACACACATCCATGTACCCAATTCTGTATCCAATAGCAAAAATCACAAGTAAATAGAAAATAACAGTTTGTGCTAAGTTCTCGCCAAACAAATCACCCTTCCCAAATAAAATTGCATTTGTTAGAAATTAGTACATTTTTAAGAAGTGTTAAACCCAAATTTGCCTCGAGCTAGAAAACATTTTTAGCAAAACGTCTACTTTTCCAGTAGACAGGTGTATCTAATATGGGGCTCCAAATTTTTACCACAGCTCCTCAACATTCATCTTATGATGCCCATTGCTCTAAAACTCATGATCATCTCATACTTAGATTATGTGAGCAAAGCATAAATCTGTATAGATGATAAGTCTAATACACAGTAATGATCAGCTAAATTAGACTGTTTATGTAAAATATTTCTGCATTTAATCTGATAATTGGCTTAGAGAATATATAATTAATGCCCCATCTAAGGAACCTTCTTAGCATATGTTAGCATATGAAAAGGGTGTTTGTTCAGCCAGGCTCTTAGGCAAATATGTTTTAAAAAATTACCATAGTAAGACAATTTGTCCCTTTGAAAGGGTGAACAATCATCATTTTGTTAACCCAGCAATTAAAATAGTAGCTATTAAGATAAACAAATACATCAGGCAAAAATCTTCACAAAACAAAACCTGTTAACTATAATAGACCATGGTACTCTGAAATACTCATTATTTACAAAAAGGAGGGAAGGTTATAGTTAAGATAATAGTGATATGCAAAATCCACACCTTATTTCTTGTTATTCATTAAGTTTCCCCCTTTTCAGGGGCATGCTTAAAAGACAGATTTGATAATAATCATTTATGACACAGTAACTTTCTCTTCCTGTTCTATTATATATAGTGAATATTAAAATGTTTCATCATGAAATTATTTTCAAATGAACCATCAAGATTTCAGATTAAACTATTTTTTCTTCAGTATCTTAAAATTACTTTAACTACATTTAAATGTGACCAGCCATTTCTCCTCTCAGTTTTACAAGGAAGCTAATTCAATTATTAGAAAACACAAGTGTGCTCAAATCTTGGGTTATGCATCTGAAATGGAATATTTAATGTAACCATTTATCAATGTGCTCCAAGAGACTGTATTAGTACACACACATATATATAATACTAGTACATATATATACACACACACACGCACACACTTAGTTGTCACCTATTCAAAACAGTTACTCCACAGTTATTTATATTCACTAATATAAAAGAGAAGCTTAAACTTGTAGGATAGTGGAAAGATTATAGTTGAAACATTATTACTTAAAGATGCATTCACATAGAGCTCAGTTCCATTTATTGATTGTACCACAGAGAAAGATTTTTCAGTGCCATTCAAATCAGTCACCTAAGTAATTTAGAATAAAACAGCGCATTACACTCTTTGGATAGCGGTATCTGTGTATGTATGTATCTGCAGAAGGATATATGCAAAGACGCTGTTAGGTCTGAGCTCTCGTAACTGGGATACTGCAGAGATATAACAGATGAATAATAACAATACATACACCTTCCAGTAGGTTGGCTGGTGCTGTCCGTGAGCCAGTCAAATCACGTATGAGAAATTCTGTCCAGTCTGTATACTTCTCTTTGATTGCTAACAAGGCAAAAGAGGAAAAAAAAACAAAACAACAACAACATTTTAACATAGTCTCAAAGTATCAAATAAACTGGAAATCACAGCAGTTTTCTGTATGTAGGTATTATCTCGATATTTTTTCTTAATGTCAAGCATCATGCTTAGTAAATGTAAACAATGAGATAAGGAATTCAAGTAGTGACTTCACCTACCATGCATGAAGGTGTCAAAGAGATGAAAGAGTCTGAGTCCCAAAGTCTTTATAACTTGTCTAGAAACTTTCTACAAACACCAAAGAATATATTATAAAGTATGTAATTCAGGTGGTTCCAAGAAGAAACAGATCAATGAGGGCCAAAGGAATCAGGGAAAAGTTTTACAGGTAGAAAAATAAAACCAGGCCCTGAATTACATGAAAGATTTATACAGGTAGAAAAGAAGGTATTTCAGACTGAGAAGAAATAGCATATGCTAATGAATAACAGAGAGAAGGAGAGATGGAGAAAGAAAATAAAATAGAACGGAATAAGGCACAATCTGAGTGTCTGGCCCTAAAAGAATAATGTCAAATGATAAGCATGAAAGTACAGAGAGCCCAAAAAAGTCAGATGTTAGATGTCTCATCATAAAGCAAATTTAAAATCACTTGAATGAAAATAAGAGCATAAAAGCAGAGCAGAGGCTGCTGCTGCAGTTATTCAAGTACAAATGTGATAGGATCTAAAATAGGGTTGATAACATGTGAACAAGGAAGAATTGTATTTGTGACAGGCGTGGAAAGAGAAATAAATATCAGACCCTGTAGGCCAACAATCTATAAGTTCTCAGAACCCAAGACCCAAGAGAAGCACACTTCTTGGTATATCTCTTAAGGTACATATCTCCATAGGCCCCACTATGTTTCACACACATCCTTGAGGATCCTCAGCCTTGCAAGGCCACCCAGAGGCATGTACAATAGCAAAAGTGAGAGTGAAGCCCTTGCCCCAGATTCCCACCAATGTGCATTGTGATTCTGCACTACCCATAAAGAGCCAATAGGGCATGAATGAATTCATGTAGTTCTTAACTTGATCATTGCTTAAAGTTCTATAAAGTTCTATACTCAAGTAACTAGGCATGATTTAGGTTTTTCAAAGGCTTGGTGCAACCTCTCTGGCTCAAATCTAAAAAAACAGAACATTACAAAAAGCAAGTTGACCTCCTGATGTAGGGCAGATCAGGGCTTTAACAGGTTCTGCCCTCACTGGATGTATGACCTTTAGTAATTTACCCAATTTCTCTTAGACTTTTTCCTCATTAGTAAAAGAATGCCAACAACATTTTACTCATAGGAGTATTACAAGAAAAAGAAGAAACATATATGAATAACATATAACCATACCTGGCACACGTTAGTTAATTACTAAATATTGGACCTTATTTTATTGTAAGTATGTACTAAATTATTGCATATCATCACCAGGTATTTCTTACTCATCCCCAAATTTCAGGTTGAAACTTTTAACAAGCTTGGGCAGAACTCCCAATAGAATGGAGACCAGTGGTAGTGCCTACTAGTTGAGTCACTAATGTACAGCTCAGTCAATATCCGCCAAAGGCCCAGGAATGACCACGGACTGAGTGGAAACCCAACACAGAAGGTACCTAGACAAGAAGGCTGGAAAATTGAGCTTTACCATGTGTAGTAATGTTCCAGCTCCTGCCCCAATTTAAACACAGAAAAACAAATCCACTCACCCTCTTTCATCACTAGTTTTTTTTCTCAAATAAAATACCATTTTTTTTGTTCTATACATACATCCATACTCACATGGATAAACATAAATTCAGGGCCAAAATTTTTTTTGTTCTCTGCCATCATTAGCAAATGTAGAAATCATTTATCAATGCTACATCCATGCTTAAATTAGCCCTCTTGCATGGCTAAGATTACTGAAAACAAAAGCGAAGAAAACATAAATAAAAACTTGTATTCACTTAACGCTTCACAAAGACCTTCCATTTACTTTGTTTTGCTCCTTCTAACAGTGCTGTAAGGTGATCATTCCTAATTCTTACCCAAATTCATAGAAAAAAACTACTAGCACAGTCAGCCTCAAAGCCCCAACTATTCAAAAACCAAACTTAAATGGAGTCGTTTCATTAGAATCTATAATTTTTCAAAGCTTTTGCTAACAAATAAATCGATAGCTTAAATTGTAGGTGTAATGGCATACTATGAAAATAACTAGCTAAACAAAAGCTTTAAATTGGGACAAAATGTACAACTGTACCCAATAAATATACATTTAACATCTTTTTAAAAATAATTATTTATTTAACTTTTATTCATTTATTATTTTAATTTGACCAAAGAGAAACACAGAGAGAGAAAAAAAGTGAAAAAGCAAACCACCAGGTCCAGGACTTGAACCATGGCCAGCCACATGGGAGTGTCCAGCTCCTTAACTACCATGACACTTGCTGGTCCCCCTACATTTAACATCTTATTAAAAAAAACAAGTGTCATTGTCAAGCAATAAATGGTCTACCACTGAAGAGAATTTATGTCTAACTCCACCATGAGGAGAAAGTTCAAATTCCCACTTACGGTTGTTTCTAACATGCAGACATCCAAGTTAAAATTTAACTTAATTTTTAATATGCAAACACCCTGTGAAGACACTGTGCTATGTTGAAATTGAAATTACCAGAGCCATAGCAAGCAAATGCTAGAGATGGCTCTGAAATTTTTATTGTGTGAGTCCTTAGTCCCAGAGACCACCTTGCTGCTTAATTTTTCCTTGTCATATTTCTGCTAAAGACTGAAATTATATTTTTCCGTGCCACACAATACCTAGATAGACCACTCTGCGTACAAAAGTACGCAGACCATTTTAAGTTTAAAAATAAGAAGAAAACAATTCTCAGGAATTTGGCTAATTTTTAAAGAAAAACTGTCCCAGTCAATAATTCGTTCCCCAAATTCTAAATTTTCAAATGTACTATAACCCTATTGTAATAAATATTGCCATAAGAACAAAGTATAAAATAATAAAAACAAAGTACAAATTTACAACTCTCAGTCAATGGAATGATTTCAACCAATAATCAACTCAGTTCAGTTCTAGTATAATCAAAGTTGCCTGGCATTGCTTAGACTTCTTTGCAACAGAAGCTGATCTATGTGTCCACTTAAACTTTTAATCAGAAATTTTAAACGATAAATTTGTATTCTGTAGAATCTCTCTCCAAGGATTCAAAATCAGAGGAGTTTGAACGCAAGAACACTCTCTCTCAGGTGTAAACCCAGTCCTTGCCCTGTGATTATTTTACTTATTTGTTTATTTATTGCAAATTGAAGGACCAATTCACACATTAAATGTGGAAAATCCCACAACCTATCCTGCACTTAAGGACAACATCCCACTCCACAGCAGGAAGGAAATGACTGGGGCTGAGGGCAAAATCCACAATTTCAGGTGTAGGAAAGATATCCACAACTTGGTAATCACTGTGTCATGCTCGTGTATAGTGAGAAACTCCTAAAAGTCATACAAGCATAAAATCAGGACCATTTTATGACTTTCTCATAAAAAAAATTTTTAAAGTTCTATTCAGTTATAGTTTACAATAGGCATACAACTATATCTTTTTAAAACTCCAACTTATATTAACGTCCCATTTTGATAAGAAGCCTACATTACATTGAAAGAAGCAATTATAAACCTAAATTTCAGAAAAACAAAACCCACATGTGCACACATTATCTGTGAGGACATTCGGAGATGGCCCCAAAGTCCCACAACAGCTTTATTAGGATTAGAAAGCCATCTATGGAAAGAGTCCCAAATAAAAGACAGAAGGTTACCATTATAGTTTCAGAATTTGAGAAACTAGTACTAATGTTGAATTTCAAGCCCTATCAAGTGCATGTTGACATAGGGGTCCAATGATATGTCACCTCTCAATTATGACGGCTCCTGTGGAAACTGGTCTGTGGGTACAAAGAGTTTCCTCAGGACTGCCCATTTGGGCAGAACATGAACAACAAGACCAGTGCTGGAATTAGGAGGACAAACATCAGCCCTTGCTCAACTCCTTCACATGTCACTAGTTGAACAGACAGATCTGCTAAAAAGACAGCTTCATCCTGACTTTTCATTTACTTGGAAGACAGGGAAAATAGTCACAATGACGAAAGAGCCATTTCACTCAGCCATAATCCAGGCAACCAAAAAGGAGTTTCAGTCATATTAGTATATGCTAGAGTTTAAACACTCAGAGGCGTTACCTTTCTTCTTTCTGGGCAGTTTTTTGCCACCCACTTTCAACCTGCCTAAATTTATTTTAGAGGTGACAGTTTTACTTTGCAATAAGTCTTTCTTGCTTCTTGGTGGTTCCTTCCTTCTAGAACTTTCTTCTCAACAGATGCCATTTAAAAAAAACCTCCTATTATGGTAATTAGAAATTCTTTTCCCATTCTAGTCCTTGAGTTTTCTCTGATTCTTGGGGTTGTTTTGTTGTTTCTGCATCTCCAACCTTCGCTCTGATATCAAAGGCTTTCCTGCAGTGTCTGACCATATCTGAGCCTGCAGTGCACTTAAATCTGAGACAACAAAAAACCTGGAGGAGAGATGTGTTCTGGAGCAGAGGATTTTTAATCAGAGAATGAGTCTTTCAATAATTCCCCTTATGCAGGGACCAGCAGGTGGCGTGGTGGTTAAGGCGCTGGACACTCCTACATTGCTGCCCAAGGTTCGAATCCTGAATCTGGTGGCTTGCTTTCTCACTTCCTCTCTCTCTCTCACTCTCAACCTCTGTCTCTCTATGGTTAAATTAAAAAATAAATGAATGAGTAAATGAAATAAATAATTTTTTTAAAAATTCACCTTATAGAGCTAACTTCCAAACTAGCAACTGTGGTTTTCTCAGTTTCTTCAGAATGTAGCTTGAAGAATTAACATCTGCTTTGTAGTCCTTCGTTGTACCAATTTGGTGATAGGGTGGGAGAAAATGGAGTCCATGAAATGTTCTGGCTACAGGCATCCCACTGAATCCTGAGATTTTAAGCCCCCATGGGACTCCCACCCACCACATCCTAGTTCAAGCCTCCAGAGATTCAAAGTTGACTCCCTCAGGTGCAGCCGCACAATGTGTCTGGGTTGCTGCAACCCTCAATAATTTAGTAGCCACCAAGCCTTCATCAGCTTTCAGGCTGCCAGAGACATTCTAAAATTTATTTTTTTTACTGACCCCCCCTTCGATTATTTGTATTGTTAATCAATGTGTTGTTGTTTTTCATTCCTTTATTTGAATGTGGGTCTCTAGAGAAAAAAGAGATAAACAAGGGCTTAATCTTCTGAAACTCCTAGCTCTCAAGAGAACCAGACCTTTATAATCAAACATTAGGCAGCAACCTTTGAGTTATCTGGAAGATTGTGGGGGTTTTTTGTTCATTTGTTTTTGTTTTGTTTGGGGTTTTTTGTTTGTTTGTTTGTTTGTTTGTTTGTTTTTTGTTTTTGTTTTTGTTTTGTTTTGTTTTTGTTTTTTGGTTTTTTTTTTACCATAAGGGAGGAACAAAAAGACAGAAACAGGCACACGCAACAGATTCTTCACTCCAGGATTTACTCCAGTGTCAGGTATGTGGACACATACACCTGGTATGGACAGAGAGGTCCCCAGATGGGAACCAAGGACCTTCCCATATGGGTTGTATTACCATAGCATTACCACTTGGCCCAGGAAAATATTTGTTTTTTGACATTTACTTTCTAAAGAAAAGAGCAACAATAGGTCTTAAATTATACATAGAAGCAGTTACTCTTATTACTTAAGAGAAACTGCAAGAAAAACTACAGAGGCCAGAGGGTGGCACGACAGTAACACATGACTCTGTGATACTAACCCTACATGGGAAGGTTGTGGGTCTGGTCCACAGACCTTCCTGAACATGTTGAGTACCCGTATATGCTCATGATCTGGGACTAGCTGAGGCTGAGGGTACATGGAAGCATCCAGATCCTGTTGGAGGTGCTTGTCTTTCTCTCTCTCTTATTCATGAAAGGAAGAAACAAACTTAAAAAGGAAACAAAAAGACTATAGAGGTCTTTTCTTTCCAGATTTTTACAGGGAAGTCTATTTTAATTTTTCACTTAGACATCAAACTAAATTGCTCCTACATACAAGTATAGACCATAAAATAACTCAGCAAGATTGATAAACTCCTACTATGTGCAATGAACGACATTATGTACTGTTAAGAGTTCAAACATGAAGATAAAAGTATCACTGTATAAAATAATAAATATAACACAGACAAAGATACAACTTGTGAAGAATCATAAAAATCACATGCACACACACATTCACTCACATATTCCTCCATACTTGTAACATATAGATTATGAGAAGAAAAGTGTCAAAACAGTCTTTCAAAACTCTTTCAGTTGTATAAATATACTTCCATAATTACTAACAGGAATAGTATTTTATTCTAAAGAATAGAATTTAACAGACGTTATCTGAGAACTGATGGAAAT